TGTACGGTGCCAGGCCCCAGAGTCTGGCTGTTTCTTTCTTTGTTTCTTTCTTTTTCCCTTTTTATTGCAGTGTTTGCTCTTCCCTAAGAAATCCCTCCATCTGTTTCTCCAGCTACCTCCTGCTTATCTTTCATAACTCAGCTGCATCATCATCCCCTCCAGGATGTGCTACCAGAGGGTCTTTCCTACCTCATCCTCTGCTGGAGATGTCCTTCCTCTGCTTTGATATGGATTCCAGCCCTAGTCTCACTGTGCCTCGGTGTGTGTGTAAGGAAACGGAAGGCAAGATCTTTGCCTCACTGAAGTTTGCACTTGACAAATATCAGGAAAGAAATGGCCAAGATGCTGCCAAGTCCAAGGCCGTAGGGAGTTAGATCCTTATGGTGTTGCTCATCTCTGATTACAGCCGGGGGCAGCACCAAGATCAGCACTCCTGCAGTAGTAGAGAATAGGCTCCGGGTAGACACAAATGCACAAAAAGCAAAGGCTCCTCCCGGCAGGCATGGGCCTTTGCAGCCAGGACCTCAGAAACCCAAACTGGTGAGATTTCCGAGTAGGTGGGAGAGAAAGGGGCATTGCGGTGATTTTAAGAAGAGATGATGGAGTCAGGCTTCCTGTGTTTGAAAACTGTCTCTATCCTCTTCCAGCAGTGTTATTTCCACAGTTGATGTAACTTTTTGGTGCACTGGTTTCTAACCTTTCAATTGTGGCTAACACACTTAACTGTTTTGGTTCCCACTGCTGTGAAACAAATACCCCAAAACTTTGTGGCTCAAGACTACATGTTTGTTATCTCACAGTTGTCATAGGCGGAGTGTTCCTCATGAGCTAGTGGTTAAGATGGAGGCCATTAGCAGTGATTATCTGAAACCATAGCTGAAGATCCACCTTTAGGATGGTTCATTTATGCAGCTGCTGACAAGAGACCTCCGTATCTGCCACAGGGACCTGTCCAACACCATAGCTAAGTACCCTGAGAGGAGATGGGGGGGAAATCCCAGTGCCTTTTGTGATATGATATAGTCTCATAACAGCTACCTTGTTCCTTCCACCACATTCTGCATGTAGGAAGGAAGTCATTGTAAGTGTGGCCCATGTTGAAGGCGAGAGGAGTTAGACTATGTGTTTTGAAAAGAAGAGTATAAAAATCGTAGACATATTTTAAGCCTTCATAGGGTTGAATGAGAGCTCCAGGAGACAATAATTGCAGGGTAGTTAGAATGTAAGGCTTTAGCCTAAAAAAACCTCCCACTGAGACTCCCAGATCCTCACTAAGGATTCTCAGTATGGGCACCAAGGGCTATGTCCCAACGGCTAAGGAGACCATGGGGAATTGGACTGCCCTCGGAGGCCAAGAACTCTGAGGTCATCCACTCCCTCTCGGATCTCCCACATGGGATGGAAGATGCCCGGATCCTTCCTCATAGGATCTAATGTCATCGGAACGGTAGCTGGGAGCCCTGAGCGGACCTCGGAAAAAGAACAGTAAACTCCCTTTGGGATTCGGGAGGGGAGCTTTCCCTGGTCCTTACTTAGTTCTGACTTTGGATCCCCACCCTATCTTGCAATGACCATCAGAGTCACTCTGGAGCCCGCCCCTCCCCCCCAAAAATTAGAGTAGACAGATAGAGAACAACAAGGAAAGCTTAGAACCAGACAGGAAACGGTCAGCGTGGACTCACATATACCTTACTAGGTAGGACACAAAGATACGTTACTCCTCACTAAGGTATTGAAGATTTCTCTGTACACCCCTCCTAAAACTGTTCTGCACCTCAACTGTTGACGTATGCCTTGTTAGAGTTATAAGCCAGTTTAGACAATCCTAAATCTGCCAAGCACAGTAAAAATTATGCTTCAACACTATAAACTGCTAAATAATAAAATGAAAATAGACACGAGACAGCTGAATAGTACCCTATAGCCATTTCAAGGTGTGTAGAAGCCGAATGTATATAAACTAAAATTGACATGTCAATGAAGTAGTCACAGGATGTGGTTAAGAATTTGTATTTTCTAACATATTGATTACTCAATACCATGTCGATTAACCCCATAATGTTGTAAATTGTTGTTGATGTTACGCTGTGGCTTTTAATTGATTGGGATGATATTCTGCCAGCTCTGCCTTCAGACCAGAGATGGTCTCCCCAAGAAACCGTTGAATTTATCTGGACAATAAGATGCTGGACTCTATGCTTGGTATATACTTGCAATGAAAAAATTTTGACTGCATTTGAACTGTAACACTACAACAAGGTGGAGGAATCCACCAGGGGGGGAGTGTGTGGGGAGGGATTGGGGGAATCCCAGAGCCTATGAAACTGTGTCATGAAATGAAATGTAATTAATTAAAAATAAAAAAATAAACCTCCCACTGAAAATAGGGCAAAGAAATTAAATTAGTGCCATAATTCATTAGTTATCTATGATCCACCTAACTCCAGTAAGATTGGCCTACATTCACAACTGTAACAGCACCTGCTGGTGTGGATGTAGGAGGAAAGTTACCCTCCTTCACTGTTAGTGGGAGTGTAGGCTACTACAACCGCTGTGGAAGTCAGGATGGGGAGTGCTAAGAGAACTGAAAATTGATCTGTTATGATCCAACTATCCTACCTCTGGGAATACATTAAAAGGAAATGAAATCCGTATATGAGAAACTGACCCATACTCCTATATTTGCAGTGGCACAATCTACACAAGCAAAGACATGGAAACAACCTAGAGGCCCATCAAAAGAAGAGTAGAGAAGGAAACTGTGGGACATCTGCTTTATGGAATCCTACTCAAGCATTTATAAGTGAATTTTTTTTTTTTTTTGCAACAAAATGGTCCCAACTAGAGACCACTATGCTCAGTGAAATAAACCAATCCCAGAGTCTATGGAACTGTATCATAAAATTGAAAAAAAGTTCTTTCTGTAGTTGCTGACATGAAAAGTTGTTCATGGCATACTTTGAGTCTTACAAAGCAAGCGTGGAACAGCATGTACAATACAGTTTGGTGTTTGTATAGTTAGGTACATTTGTCTCTACATTTATGTATTCTGGAAGGTTCTTTGAAATCTTACTCTGAGTGTTGGCAGTTGTGTTATGTTTGAGAAACTTTTTCCCTTATTTTTGATACTGAGTTTATACTGATCCTATGTCTACATAAATAAAAGAGGACTTTTCCAAAGAAAAAGAATGAGACATGAGGCTGAGAGGAGGATGTATATGGGAGGTGGGAAGGATTGGCATTGTTGGCTGGGAACACCGAGCTCTGCATGGGCTGGTTTATTCCCTGGGAAGCATCTGACTGCTGGGGTGTCTTCTGATTCTTCAGATTGACTGTGAAGACCTGCCTAAGCAGGCAGTAGGTTAGAGCCTGTTTCTGCTCGAGGAGACATATAGGTAAAGGGAAAACTTTCTGGAAATGGGAGACGCAAGAGGAAGAGAGATCTATGGTAAAGGGCAAAGCAAAGGCTAGACAATGCCATTTGTAAATCAAAGAATTTTAGGTCTATTGGTAACCAACTGAATGGTTGTGAAACAGAAGAGTTAAAAATTTGTGCTTAATGGAGAAAAAAAAAACCCTGTAAATATTGCCTAATGATATTTTTTGAAACGTTTGTCTACTGTTATTTTGCTATTTGTCTCATCTGTCTTTGTATAGACCTTTTCTCTGACCTTTTAATTGAATATTTTGCATGGCTTTAATATTTTTGTTTTTGTGTCTTGATTCGTTCTGTGTGTCTTAGTTTATTCCGTTTGTGATTACCTTACTGCTCGTTGTCTATATCCTTAACTTGGTCTACTTTAAGAAATATTACAGTGGTTCATGTAGAAAATAACCTTGCCGCAGCATAGGTATCCTCTATGTTTACCTTTGTAGTTTGTTCACACTTTTTTCTTCCACATTTGTTAGAAATCCCACAATAGTGTTACCATTTTTGCTTTCAATGCTTAATTATTTGAAGAGATTTAAACAGTAAGAGAAATTGTATCTACCCATAGGTTTAACATTTTCAGATCCTTTAGTCTTTTATCTAGAGGACTGCCTTCTTTATTTTTTGTACAAATTTGCTGGCGCTGAATTATTTTTAGCTTTACATTTCTGAGAAAGTGTGTATTTCAGTTAATCTGCCAGTGACACTTTTGCTGGGTATATAATTCTAATTGACAGTGACTTTTTCCTTTCTCTAATGAGTTCCACTGTCTTCTGGCTTGCATAATTTCTAAAATGATCCTTTCTTTTACACCTGTTTACCCAAGGATTCTCTTTCTCTTGCTTCCTTGCCGTCTAGATTCTCAGCTTCCCTTACACTCTTGAGTTCTGAGTTCCCATTCTCTGCCTGTGACCTGGAAACAAGCTAAGTCATAAACTGTGACATTTGTAGGACTGACTTTATTTTCTGTTTTCTTCTTTCAGAGGTCATTGCTTCATTGCTCTGTGCTATCTATTGTTCAATGTCTAAACATACTTTTCCCTGATTTTTAAACATTATCGAAACCAGAATAATAAATCCGATTCTTGTTTATTTTGGAAAGAAGCACAAGTTCTGAGATGTTAAATCAGAAAAATAAAGAGTTAAGACAATAAAACTAACTTCTGATTGTAAAACTCTTTCCTGAAAACTGTGTTATATTTTGTATTAACTTGGAATTATGAGCCCATTTAAAACAATTCATTTAATGCCATAGCATTTGACATTATCCCTTTTCTTACAGGAAACAAGAAGCATTCAAAATGGTTTCTAAATCGCTCCAACTTTAATGATAGATCAGAAGCTGCAGGAATAATCCACAATAAAAGTCTTGAAAAAGTTTTACTTCAGACAACAGAGGAAACAACACTGACCTACCACCTTTAAACTCTCACCTAAAAATTACTTATGACAGGAGGTAACAAATTGGAAAGTTATTTGACTCTTAGTGCACCTGAATGAAAGAACTTGTTTGTCACTTTGTTGTTCTGAAGACTATATATGTGATTATTTTAATAATCACTGATCTTATGAAAATCTTGACATGATCACCAGGGAGGAGAAAGCAAGCAATCGCTAAGACCTGTGTATTGGTCGAGATGACTTCTGAAGAAATGGCAGCTTCCGTTCTCACTCCTGTGACTCAGAGAAAAGTGGTGTCTGCTCTGTCAGCTGCTGAGGACACTAAAGACAAGACCTCAGACACCAGTGTCCCAAAGGTACATCCTGTCGGACCCAGCAGGCAGGTGTCTCACTCCATCTCACAACTGAACAAGCTTAAAGAAGAAGCTTCTGGCAGCCACTTGCCCAAGGTTCGCACAATAGCAAGGGAAAAAATAGTGAGTGATGAGAACAGGAATGAAAAGAGCTGGGAGCTCAGCTTGCCAGAGTCTGTGAAAAATCTTAACATTAGCTGCAACAGCAGGCTGAGAAACCATCAGCATGGCCTTCCTCTAAGCCAGCTGGATGAAAAGTGCCACTCCGTCACCAAACAAAACTTGTGTTTTGAAACTGGAATTCCTGCAGCACTGGAAAGAAAGGTGTTTCCTGGAATTCAACTGGAAATAGATGGGTCTCCCATGGACCTGAGTCCTTTAGGAAATCAGTCAGTAATTTTGGAGGCTGATGGATCCCACCCTGCTGGCGATGTGGCACTATTGCATTTTCATTATGGAGTTGACAGAAGAATGGCAGACACTTTCTGTCCCCTGTCAGAAAACTTAACCTTGGATGATTGTGGAAACTGTGTGCCACTGCCTGGTGTTGAGGGGGAGCCAAAGAAAAATTATATGACATATGCTTGTCAGCTGATGGAATTGACCCAAAGCCATGATAATCAGAATGGACAGCTGCCGTGCAATCATTGTGACACCTTAAATGAAAAGTACTTGGGCTTTGAAGGTGCTTGCCAGAAGGTTGGCAGGGTGTGTTCCAGCGATCGCTTTTGCAAGGAGAGTTTTACTGACAGTCCACCTGCCAAGACCCTTTTGAGCCATTTTGAGCACTTTCCTGAAAACTGTGATGATGTAGAAGACTTTTTTAAAAGCAAAAAAGAACGGTCCACTTTGTTGGTGAGGAGGTTTTGTAAAAACGACAGAGAAGTTAAGAAATCTGTATATACTGGGACAAGAGCGATTGTGAGAACTCTGCCTTCTGGCCACATTGGCAGGACTGCTTGGAGCTACATCGAGCAGAAGAGAAACGGCCACTCGGTGCCTGGTGGGAGGGTGAGGGAAGCCCTTTTCTCCTCAGAGATGAGGCAAGGCGGGAGCCAACGTCGACCTGAAGCCCAGTGGTCTCTGGTAAGAGCTCAAGTTCCTTTTCACCATTTCTTTATGCCTTATCTTGTTAGAATTCAAATGTGCATTATTTTACTTTGTGGAAATGTTAAGATCCATTGCATTGGATTCTTGGGGGAGGCGTTTGTAGTTATTTTGGAAAAGTGATATTCTGGCTGGTGGATATTCGGAGGGGAAAGACCCTGTGATCATGGAGCACACACGTACATGCATTTGTCATTGGGAGAAGGGGCATTCAGGAGGTTTCCCAGTGCGGGAAAACGTCTCTAGCTATTGCTTGTCTCTGCACTTTTGAGGGAAACGTCAGGATCCTCTTCTGTTACTGTCATTCATGGTTTTTAGATCCTCAGACCTAAAAGAAACTAAGTCTGGTTTTCTACATTTTGCAGCCATCTTTCCCTCATAAGCATATTTGTGTCTAGGACTCCTCTGGAAAATTAATGAAACCAGTGGATTCAGAATAATGTGTTAAATGCATCAGATGAAATATTAAGCATTATTAAGACAGATTATTTTGATGTTTGTTTTGGAGTTGTGCCATGATAATTTTTGTAATCCTTTGTTAGCATGCTAAATAGTGGTATCAGTAAAAACTATCTTTTCAAAGTAATAATGGATATAAATCAAGAATAGTTTGCTTGGGACTTTCTTGGTTTTAACAGTCTTGTGGGAAAGCTCTCAGGGCTGCATAAGCCAAGGCAAGTTGGCCATCCTAAATAGCAAACCTACCATAATTATAACATGACACGTAAATACCTGATGTCTGCTAATAAGTTCTTGCTGTTACTGAGATTTGTTGGGTATATTTGTAATTGAAGAAAGTGCTGATTTCGTGAGATTCATAAAAATAAGGCCTCCTTTTTGCTTTATCTGCACTTTTAGGTCATTTGAATTCTATCCAGTTGGTCTTTAAGGTCCAAATTCCATTCTAGATATAACATAGCATCCAGTCACTTGCCCTACCGTATACTCTCATTTTTTTCCCCTCATTCCAGCTAAGCACTCGTTTGTTTAGACTGTTTCCAGTGTGAAAATGTCACTAGAATTCTCCCACATTTCTGATCTTCTAAAACAGGGCCCTGGAAATAAATACTGGTCTAATAAAACATCACTCACCACATTTAAACACAACCATGTGCTGTTATCCTCATGATCATCATGAAAATCCCAGCTAAGCATTGAGCATGTGCCAGACTCTGGGCTGAATAATTTACACATTCATTATCACGGAGTCACCTTAACTACCTTGTGTTATTGATATGATTATTAACCCCGCGATATTGCTAGGAAAACTGAGTCTCTCAGAAGTCCTATTTCTGCTCCAAGGTTGTTTAGCTCATAAGTGGAATAAGTAAGGTTGTAAATCAGTTAGTTTGCACTGGAGTAGTTTTTTCTCAAGACCCAGAAAGCAGCAGAATTTAGAGTAAACTTTTCAGAGTGCAAGACTGCATTGCGACATCTGTTGATTCAGTGTATGATATCTCAGCATTGGTCGCGTAATGTATGGCGATTGTTATCCTGGTTATATGTTACAGTTGGTGTGCAGGCTCCACTCCAAATCCATTGAGTCAGAATCACTGGGGCAGAGCACCATATGAATGTACTCTCAAGTTTCCCTGGTGATTGAATGGCATTGACATTCATTGGCTAGGAGCTTACACTGAGCTCTGGGTGGGTGCTTATGCTTTTGTGATTTTTATTTAGAGTGAGAGAAGGTGAACAGCTGGCTCTTGTATCTACTGTTTAATTCCCCAAAGGCTGGCACTGGGCAAGGCTGATTCTAGAAGCCAGAACTTCAATCCTGGTCTCCAGCCTGGCTTTTAGGGGCTGAACCACTTGAACTCTCCCTGTGACCGCCTGGTGTCTGTGTTAGCAAGTCACGGTTTTGACTTGAAATTGAAACAGTTTGACTCCAACTCAGGCACTCTATTGTGGCACGTGGACATCCCCACTGGTCTCTTAACCACTAAGCTAAATACCTGCATTAGTTCTCATGGTTTTGGTCAGGATAATTTGGGGAACACTTAACCTTGCTGTAAAGTCTTTAACACTGCTTGGGTTCCCTAGAGCATGAATGCTGACCTGGGCACCTGTTTGCAAAGTGAAACCTGCAGCCCTTCTCTGGGTAATTGACCCCTGGTCCCAGCTAGAAGCCATGGATTTGTTTCTGTGATGGTTTGGGTAATACCATGCAAAACCTGAGTTGCAGGCCAGGAGTTTGCCACAGGCCTGGCTTTCCCAAACTCTGGAATCTTGTTCAGCACCTCCAACCATAGCATTACTGCTGAGAGTAGCCAGCCAGCTCACTGAAAAATGCAGGGAGTGGGTTAGTGCCAAGTACACCTGACCATTAAGAGCACAACAGAAATGTAAATTAGTATATGGTGTTTCAGAACCCTTGGGGTATGTTTCAGAATAATGTTAGCCACGTCCACATTTTACCCCACCTGCAGCCCTGCTGCACCAGCACTGGACTCAGCCATGCCCTTCTCTGTCACAGGCCCTGGGGTGGTGGATTGCCCAAAACGGGGATGAACTGAGAGGGGATGTCAGCGGTCCCTTCCCTGCTGCTCAGTCTGGAAGCTTGGGGAAGTTGCCAGAGTGCCCTGTGGTACTCCTCTCCCTTTCTGTCTGACAGACGGCTTGCAAGGGAAGTTGGTGTATTATCCCTTAGGATGTGGCTAAGGGATGAACCAGCTGCCCTGATCTTTCTTAAGCTTCTGCAAGGGAGAGCCCTTTCAAATTGCACTGTAGCAGGAATTATATTATAATGAGCAACTAAGGATGTTATCTTTTGACATTTAGAACCTGTGGGAACTTGTGAAGGGCAAGAAACTGGTCCCAGGTGTTTTTGTTACTTTCCGCAACTCCTGCATAATGCCAAGGTTATAGGACAGGTCAGTTGGCCCAGATTTGAATTGCAATTCTGACTTCCACCCTGTGTGGTGTGTGGACTCTGGTAGGTGGTTTAATCACATTGTTTCTGATTAGCTCGTATGCAGATGAGGAATAACTGTCAGTGTGGGCCTTCCCTGATGTGCCAGTGAGGCGACTGCTACTGCTCTCACTTGACCCTTTGTGACCTGTTTTGTTGGGGGCTGCTCCAGGGTGGCTTCTTTCTGGGGAGGGCTACCAAGGGATGGATTTGAATGTTCAATTGACCCATCTTGTCTGCAACTCTATGTCTGCCAACTCAACCAATGGCTGACCAAAAGCATTTGGAAAAAAATCTTACATCTGTGCTGAAAACATCTGATTTCTTCTAGTCGTTATCTCCTAGAGAATATAACACTGCAACCATTTGCCTAGCACTTACATCGTGTAAGATACTATTAATAATGTGGAGATGATTTACTTCTCTGCCTTATTTGCTTGAGTTAGAGACAGAGCTAGGTATCTCCCATCTGCTTGGTATGAACTTTTGATTCCCAAATGTCCATAACAGGGGCTGACTCAGGCCAAAGCCAGGAGCTGGGAACTCGGTCTGAGTCTCCCACAAGGGAGACAGAGACCTTATGGCATGAGCCATTGCTTGCTACCTCCCAGAGTAGACATTTTCAGCAAGCTACAGTTGGGAGCAAATCTAGGATTTGAACTCAGGCACTGTGACAGGGGACGCAGGCCTTCTTAGTGATGACTTAAGCACTATGTCCAATACTTGTCCCAGGGAGAGATGATTTCAAGTATGCAGAGGAGGTGCAGGGTTCTTTGTAGCTACTAAGCCATTTTATGAGGGACTTGAGCTTGCAAAGATTCTGGTATTTGAGGAAGTCCTGGAACCAATCCCTGGTAGATACCCTGGAACCACTGGGTGTCTCCGATGTGGCAGCTTACATAATCCTGCCCACACACTTGAAGAATGTGTTATTTGTCCAATTAATTCCTTTGGCCTCAAGTTTTTACTTTTGTTTTATTTTTGCATGCCTTAGTCAAAACGACCCAATTAACTTATATTTGCACAGCTGTGCAGAGACGAATGGATTTGAATGGAGGACATTAATGAGGATTAATGCTTGCTGACTGATGAACTGTTGAGATCCTCCTCCTCCTGCTTGTAAAAAATTAAAACCCTGCCCTCTTCCAGTTACAACCACGGTCTTCCCTACTGCCTCTCTTCTGCACTCCCTTTATTAACTCAACAAAATGGGGTATTTTTGACAAGTGGCTAAAGTCTCCAGGTTAAGGGTTGGGTAAGGGGGTTTTTCCTTTACGAAAACTTTTGCCCTTGCCTGCATTTTAAGGTGAGACAGGTGGGAGCTGGGGGTGGAGGTGACAGGGCAGGGAGGCAGGAATAGTGCTGCCTGGAGCTCCCTGGGATGTGAAATTAAAGAACTTCCCTTCTGCCCTGTCGTAATTGCTGCCATAACCAGAGTCAGTGGTGGTGGGGGTGCAGGTTAGGTGTGTGTGTGTGTGTGGGTGGGGGAAGTGGACAGAGCGGAGTCCTGCAGCACTGGGGTGTCCCATTTCCTCTGCTTCCCCTCCTCCATCTCCAGGAGGAGCTACTGTGCGAGAGTACCAGGGTGCCTCAGAACACCAAGAAACATGGAATTGAAACATAAGTTTGGGTGCCAAAATTTTCGAAATCCATGCATACTTTTCTCATAATGCATGTTTTCCATGAATGTTTTGAAGACTCTGATAGGCACATATTTCTAGGCTCTTTTGCACCAAAATAAACTTTTAAATCCATTTCATGGATGTTTTGTAGTGTTGCCTATACTGGAAAATAGAAAAAAAAAACTTCTGTCAGATAAAAAGAAAAAAAATAGATCAAATATAAAAACAATAACAGCTCAGAGTAGAAAAAGTGTAAATTGGAAAAGAAAGGTGTAAGCCAGCTTTTATATTACTGCTTTCCTGTTCTGATTTCTTGCTTCTAAAGATTTCTTTCCTTCTCCTATTTCACTCTGAAATTTGGAAAAGTACATTTAAAAGCCGGTGGTAGGGTAGAGCAAAATTACCTGTGATAATATGTAGGTCCATCATTCTATATTTT